CTACTACTACTACTACTACTACTACTACTACTACTACCAACCACTACCACTACCACTACCACCACCACCACGACGACGACGACTACTACGACTACTACGACTACGACGCCGACGACGCCGACGACGACGACGACGACTACTACTACTACTAGTAGGGCCCCGGACGTTTCCAAGGTTCGGGCCCCGAAGGTCGGGCCCCGAACTGTGCACTACTATTGCTACTACCACCGCAGTACTAGTACGACTACTACTGCTACTACTAATACTACTACTACTACTACCACTACTACTACTACTACTTCTACTACTACTCGCTACTACTACTACTACGACGACTACTACTACTACTACCACTACTACTACTACTGCTACTACTACTACTACTGCTCGGGCCCTGGAAGTTTCCCAGGTGAAATGATCTGAGTTGTATTATTAGTTGGGCACAGGTCTCCTGCTGAAAGCATTCGCTTCGGACAAAGCAGTAAGACTTGGCGCTGAAGGACTTGTGCTATGGGCCGAAATACACAACGAGGGTGATGTCAACGTGGTTGTTTTGAAATGTCATGGTGGGGATCACTCGAAGTAAAGTAATCACGAAAGCTAGCATCAGCTAGCTGGAGTTGCTCTTGCTTTAGCAAGTCAAGGGCTCGCAGCCTCGAGAATCATGAATCACGTGAAAACTTCACGTGTAGGGGGCCCCCCCCCACCGCGGGTTCAACTCCCCCCTGGGACGCTTCCGGTACGTGCTATAGTGCTATGTTTAGGTGGCAGGTGAAGTAGGCCACTGTTTGAGTTTGGAAGGGGGGGCATGAAACATGAAATTTACGCGAGGGTTCAAGGCTTCAATGATGAGCATCACGGGAAGTCAGAAACCAGGCGTATCAGATACACGTGCTTTGAGCTTCCTTCGGCATCTCAGTGCATATGGCTGACACTTCACTCGACAAAGATGCTCAAACAAACATACATAAACCAGGTGTATCTGATACGCCTGGTTTGTGACTTCCCGTGGTGCTCATGATGCTGCGTTGCTTTTCTTCAGTCCCTCATTACATAAACATGACGATCCAACAGCAGATTCAACAAGCTCACATGTTCATGACATCGACATCGATAGAAGAAACCAAACAAATCATGCAAGCAGCTTTGTTTTGCCTCTGGGACACCTCTTGGGCACCTCTTATGGCATCCACACTGGTTCAACTCCTCCGTGGAGGTTTTGGGATACGGTGCAACAGATTCAACAAGCTCACAGGTTCGTGAACACATCGGATGCATCGAACAGTGTGGCAAAGTCCAGCCACGCTTCCTTAATTATCGGGGACTTCAATTCTAAGGTTGGCTGTGTCATTGCTGTTTGTGTGTCTTACATGTTCACAACGTTTTACCTCATGAGCATTTGCCTCACTCCGCTTGATGTCCCACCAGTCCGGATGCACCCCTGCTAGCTTTCGTCACCTACCCTCGGCCTCAAGTTTTCGTTCTTTTTCCTACTGCTTTTGCTTTTGCTTTTTGCTTCTACTTATGCTTTTGCTTCAACTTTTTGCTTTTGTTTCTGCATGTGCTTTTTCTTTTTGCTTTTCCTTCTGCTTTTGCTATTGCTTTTTGCTTCTGCCTTTGCACCAAAGCCAGCGTGACGGAGAGAACGAGACAGTGACAAAGGGAGGGAACAGAAAAGGTATCCCACTTACTATAGGGACTTCTTTGCGGTTGTTTTTGGGTTTCGCTCGGGTTTCTTTGGGGTTGGTTTCTTGTCTTTGCAGCACAAACACCTGCGTCCCAAAGAAACCCGAAACCAGTGAAGCCCAAAGACAACCGCAAAGAAGTCCCTATATATAGTAAGTGGGATACCTTTTCTGTTCCCTCCCTTTGTCACTGTCTCGTCCTCTCCGTCACGCTGGCTTTGGTGCTTCGTCCCTTGCCCTTTCTGCTTCTTCTTTGGAGTGCTTGTAAAGCACGCCCAGCAGAAGCAAGAGCAAAAAACAAAAGCAAAAGCAGTAGGGGAAACAAATCCCGGAAAAACAGAAAAATACCGGAAACAATCTTTATCCTTGATCTGTCTCGAGCAGCTCTCCTTGTTGCTTGGCATACTGGAGGAGAACTTGAACATGTTCCTCATCATGTAGTCCCCAGAGCATCTGAAAAACATGGTAAAGCCCTCCAAAGTGACAGCGGCGTCCCCGTGCCAATGATCCCCCAAATGCCGTGCAAGCTTCTGAAGATGATGTAGACCCGTGTGATCGCCAATGCGCTGCCTCCGATGGTTAGAATGCGACAGCACAGCAAAGAGTTAGAATGCCTCGAATGAATCAAAAAGAAATCAATAGGAACCAAAAGCAAAACAATAGGAATCAAAAGGACATGAAAAGGAACCACAAGGAAATCAATAGGGATCTAATAAAACCAAAAGGACAACTAAAAGGAACCAAGAGGAAATCAATAGGGGTCAAAAGGAAATCAATAGGAATCAAAAGAAAATCAAATGGAACCAACAGGAAATCAAAAGGAACCAAAAGGAAATCAATAGGAATCAAAAGAAATCAAAAGGAGCACATAATAGGAAATCAATAGAAACCAATAGGAAATCAATATAGGAATCAAAAGAAAAAATATATATATGTTAACCAAAAGGAACTCAATAGGAATCAAACGGACACCAAAAGGAAGCACGATGAAATCAAAAGGAAATTAATAGGAATCAAAAGGAAATTAAATGGAATCACAAGGAAATCAATAGGAACCAAACGGAAATCAATAGGAATCAAAAGGAAATCAATAGGAATGAAAAGGACATCAATAGGAATCAAAATGAAATCAAAAGGAAATCAACAGGAATCACGAGGAAAACTAAAAGGAA